CACAGTAATTGTCGAAAATATTTATTAAATATTTTTTTGTTCAACGTCTATTTTTCGTGGTGCTGTTTGAGATCATCGATCGACGGCCGCAGCAGCAGCAGCAGCAGTGCTGACCTTTTCCATGCTTGCCGTGCCTATCCTCTTCAGATTGCCTCGGATTTATGTGAAGTGCTTGAATTGCACTCAATTTGCTGCCTTCTGATCCTTTTCTAATTCCTCTCAGGAATCAAAGCAGTGCATCCCTGGTGTGTAATCTTCTCCACTGCAATATCAGCAGGCTTAATGCTTGAACGTGATAGGAATTATTCTGGTCCATCCAGTAGTTCTGCAAGTAGTACACATGGAGCGATTGAGGTACTGTTTATTTTGAGCTGCGGATAGTTCGTTTTCTATTTGTTTTTATTTCAGGACGATTGTTTGCCAACCAGTGAACCAGGCCCAAGTGCAATAGTGGAGCCGAAGTCGGCCATTGACGTCGCTCTCGAGCTTATTGCCCAGGAAGAACTCGAGGCTATCAATGCAGCCAGAATGTGCGTTTTTCGTCCATTAGCTGTTTCTACAAAGCACGAACCACTTATTGAACTACAATCGATTGTCATATCAGTTCGATTGATCAGTCGATATCAATCGACCAGTCAATATCAGTTCTCACATCGATGCCCACTAATTTCATTCGTTTTCTCTTTCACATGAGGTCTTTATTTTTCGGGTTCTTATGAAAGAAATGTCAAAAAATACATGTTGAACGCCAGAAAGAAAGAGAATATGACACACCCTGTGCGTCACGCAGTCCAGAACGTCTTAGAGATTTACTTTCATTCGACTTATCAAGTCCTCTGTGACTGGCTGTTTCTAGCCTATTTTTTTAATTGAGTCTTTTTCAGTGCTGCCCTGAACAAGCCCAAACCTCGTGGTCGTCCTCCACTTTCTCGAAAAACTGCTGAGTGAGTAAAGCAGTAATAATACTTTCCTTATGATAACGTAGCCGCAGATAATCTTTTATCACCAAGTTCACTCACCACAGAGTTGTTGCCTGATACATCTCACAGTTCAAAGGCCACCTCTTAGCAGGGGTGATCTTCGGCCATTTCCCCATATTAGCCCATGAAACCAAACTCTAATCCCTTCTATATTGCGTGCTCTTATACTTACTGCGTAATTATTCCAGAAATACTGCCACTGTGAATGCAAAAACGGACGCGCAGGACTTGCGGACACCTATGAAGCCAGAAAGAAACGGAGCAATCGCAGGTATTCTTATGGAATTTTTATGGTTACCTCTGGTTTCCGTCGAGCTGACCAAGATGGTTCTCGATGTACTTCAGTTTGCAGAATTTCAAGGTTTAAAGTAGCACTTTCCAGTGTTGCTATTTTTTTGTCAATTCTAAATCTACAATGGTTAAATTGCTTCCAGTAGGTGTCCTGTTTTCGTTTTGACTCCATTTGTAAATTATGACCTCGTGCCAATGTCTACTTTAGCATTTTTTTACGACTGAACGCGATTATTCTTGTTATCTTAGATGTCCATTGCATGACTTTGATCTATACTGCTTGAAGTTTTCAAGGTGTTAACGGTGCCAATAACAGTGCTTACCAAGCATCAGCTCGTGTCATGATTAGGGTGTATATACCATCTCACCACAAAATTGCTTCCATCTACGCCAGTTCCTACTGTTGGGGAACATTTCTGAAAATTACGACCCCTCCCCCCCCCCCCACAAAACTTCTCCTCCTTCTCCCCCAACTCTGGAACTTCTTCTCCCACAACTTCCTCCTGCACGACCCCATCCTAAGTATTACATCCCCAAAACTTCTACATTCCTACCGATTTTCTCAGAAAGCAGAAATTCCACTCCCAATTCCCCCAGCACAAAAAAGTTGCCGTCGAGAGGGAAGAAGTGGGGGGGGGTAGCATACCTGAAACGGGAAAATCCAAGAAGTCATCTATCAAAATCCTTTTCATCGGAGACAAATATGACCCTCACTCCTTCCTGCAA